AATTCAACTGTAATTATATCCTGCCTCTGCTTATAATGCTTCAGTGACATTTGAATACTTTTAGGATAAAATCTTAATCTTTAAAAATGTTTTTATTTATTGATTTTTAGAGAGAGAGGGCAGGAGAGAGAGCGAAGGAGACAAAGAATCGTTAGTTTGGCTCAAGGCTCATTTATTTATGCACTCACTGGTTCCGTGTGCCCGGGATCATGTGTCTGCCTTTAACAGGGCCTGCTAGGCCCTCTCTCCCTCCTCATTTTGCACCATTCTTATCTCTGTGTTCCTTCCTGCCGAAGGACGTTGGTACACTTTTCTTCTGCTTAGGGCCTTCTTTCTTTTTCGGTTTCTCTGGTTCTTACTCACTTTTAAATTCTTTGATGTAGTATTGCTTCCTTGAGAAAGCTTTTCTTGCCTCCCTATAAGAGATACCACCCCTATCCTCAGCATTTCTTTAGTAAATTATAATTGTGAAATTTTCTGGTTTTCTTTTTCCATGCTGGAAGCTTTGTGAGGATAGAGATTGATTGTAGTTCACTGTTGTGTTCCTAATCCTGACCATAAATGCCTAACACCTAGTAGGCACTCCATAAATTCTTGGTTGAATTAACAAATAAGGTGGGTAAGGAAGTGGATGGTCTGAGATGAGGAAGCCTTGAGGTGAGAGAGCAGGTTTAGGAGTGCAGAGGAGAAGCTGGAAGGGGATGAGGTTGTAGCCAGAGGAAGATGTTGGGAGATGAAGACTTAGAGGTGGAGCGGTTTCAGGAGATGCAGGATCCGGGACTGCGTTGTTGGAGTAGAGATGGAGGTCTTTGCATCTGATGAGATTATGAAGCTGTAGGGCAGAAATGTTGGATGGATTGTTTAGGCGGGCACTGACATTATGGAGAAAAATGGTGAGATTTGAAATGAAGAGAATACAAGGTGGGTGCCTAAGTCTATAATAAATGTGAGAGACAGGCACAGCCCTTTCCTGTTGGTGAATGAATTACATGGGTAAGGAAATCAGTGTGGTTCTGGGAGTCACACTGGTGCTCTAGTAAAGCCCTAGTCCCTTGGAAGGCAGTGTGGTGTAGAGCCTGTGTTCAGACTTCCAGCAACCCACGTGACTCTTCGAGCCTTTTTTCTTTGCCTGTAAACTGGGAATGATAAGCCTGCTACAGGTGGTTTGTCATTAATGAATAGGACAGTGTTTTTGAACGTGCTTAATATTAACTTGTTTTTTATCCTTGATTGTTGGCGTCAGTTCACGAGAGCGTGGAAGTAAACGTAGGGATGAGAGGCAGAGATAGCAGCAGCAGTGAATTTGGAACAAGGTACTCTATTGATTTCATTTATCCCACATGTCGAGTTTATACTATGGAGTCAGTATAAACAATTACGAATGAATACAGGTAAAAGCAAGTACTTAACTGATCTGTAAGGAAGGATTTTTTTTTTTTTTAATAAAGGCTACTGGCTGGCCCATGACATTGCAGTGTTGATCCACAACAACATTTTATGTAAAAAATGCTTAATTGAATTGTTTCCATGACAATTTCATCATCCTGGGAGTAGATTTTATTGTTCTAGAGAACAGAACAAGGGCCATTATGTGAAAATTATAGGTCGGGGAGGGCTGGTGATTTCGTTTAGAAAAGCATTTTGTAACAATCAGAGCTGTCTAACAATAAAATGGACATCCTGGCAGAGGAATGAGCTTTCCGGCAAAGCTTGTATTCATGTGGAGACTGGATGATTGATCTGCCAGATCTAATAGAAGGCTTCTTGAATGGAGAAGATATTGGATTAAATAATTGCTGAAGCTGGAGTATCTTGCAGTTGGAAGATTGGAGGACTTTGACTCCAATTGAGATTTGTCTGAATACCATTCAGTCAACAGCTGTTTGAGTGCTGCTTCTGTTTCACTGGAAAGTTTGAAAGCCAGCATTTTGTTTTCTTCATTTCCTTCCTGTGTGCGGAGACAGAGCCGTGGACTGTGAATCTTAGTCATGACCTTGGATGTTCCCATTCGGAATTGGAGAAACTGTGGCCAGGTGTTGTGGTGATGTAACAAAAGCAGCTGTCCTCACCTGTCGGGTGGGGTTAGGGTGGAGTCCGTGCATGCACCTGGAGACATCAAATATAAGATGTGTTGCCAGAAGTATGGTGTTGTGCTTTGAGGGTTTTTTTTTTTTTTTTTTTTTTGGAGAGGAGAAGGGAGAGGGAGAAACATCAGTGTGTGAGAGAGACATCGATTAGTTGCCTTTCCTACGTGCCCTGACCAGATACCAAACCCACAACCCAGGCATGTGCCCTGACCTGGTTCAAATCCTAGACCTTTTGGTTTGTGGGGACAGTACCCAAGCAACTGAGCCACACTGGCCAGGGCAGTGCTTTGAATTTTTGAGCAAGTCATGCTAGATAATGTTGGACCTCTAAATTATTTTTAAAAAATATTTTTGGAGCCCTGGCTGGTGTGGCTCAGTGGATTGAGTGCTGGCCTGCAAACCAGGGGGTCACCAGTTTAATTCCCAGTCAGGGCACATGCCTGGGTTGTGGGCTGGGTCCCCAGTTTGGGGTGTGTGAGAGGCAATCACACATTGATGTTTCTCTCCCATTCTTTCTGCCTCTCTTCCTCTCTCTAAAAGTAAGTGAATAAAATCTTAAACTATTTTTGGAAAGAATGGCCTACTGTGTTGGCACATGAGATCTGTGATGCCTTGATATTGATGGTTTTCATTGGCTTCTCTCAGAAGCCTGTGTCTGGGAAATTGCCTACATGCCTGTGGCTTAATCAACTCTTTTCTCTCCCACTGAGCTCTTTTTTGCTGACTGCTATTTTTGTGCTTAGTGTATATTTTTCTCATTCTCTCAGAAGGTTATTAAAGAGGCTTTACTAAGTTCCTTCACATGTTATTTTTTAGAAGATTGAAATCATTTTTAAGCATGCCCTTGGTTTGGGATTATTCATGCATCTGAGTTATTTGGGCCGCTCCCATGTCCTGCGACCTAAGACAGTGACTGAAGTGGGCCCAGAGAAGGAGTTCCTGTCTGTATTGGGGGAGGGAGAAGCCACCTACTCATCTATGAATTCTGAAGGAATTTGTTTCTTAAGTAATGAATGGAAGGAACTGATTTATAACATGTTGAAACTTAGGTATCTTAGGGAAAAAGTCATTTAGGAATTGGTAGCCTTTTGTGACAATTGTGATATTGAAATGGAACTAAATTAGATATTGATAATGTATAGACCAAAAGAGAATATAAGGACCACAGTTTATGAGGCTGTGTTGAACCTAAGAAGTTCATTTTTTAAATCTGGAAAGGATCTTAGAAGTCATTGAATCCAAGTCTGGGGTATACAAGAGGCAGCTGAAACCCTGTGAGTAATTTGACAGAAGTCACCCAGTTAATACATAGAGGTGTTGGTACAAATCATGTGACAGGAGGATGGTGGAAGCAGTGACAGTACAGCCGATGTCTTTTTAGAAAGAAGATGTCCTAAACTCGGAGAGATGGCTGGGACCAGGGGAGGCCCTTAGCAATAGAGGAGTGATAGGAAGTATGAAGTATCCTAGAATTTTTGATTTGCTACATTAAGCCTCAAATTGATTGGTTTGGTTGGCGAGTGGTGTGGAGGCTCATTTATTCTTCAGGTGGTGATTGACTGCCTACAGTATTGTAGATGCTTTGCTAGATGGTTGGGGCTACAAATGTAAATAAAACATGTCGCGGCATTCAAGAATCTCTTGCACTATTGCAACACAGTACAAGAGAGAATTCTTTTTATTTCACCATTTATCTCTCCTGTGAAAGATCAGTGTTACCAAGTTAGTGACCTCTACTGGGTTCATAACCCACAAATGATTGCGTTAATATTTCTAAGGCATGCAGAAAATTAGGATCCAGTCACATCACTAAACAGGCTGGGGCCTGGGGTTAAAGAGACTGTCACCTGAGTCACCTGTTACCTTTGAGAATGGTACTTTTGCCTGCCCCAAAAGGCAGGGGGTTGATGGGTGTGGAGGGGCAGGTGCGTGTACCTGGTGACTTGATGGACAAATCCTCTTCTCCAGAGAACTGCGAACAACCTGTCCAACATGGCAGAATTTGGCTAGCGGTCGTTCCCATTCCATTATTGCTTCCTCAGCTAAGACTGCCAAGGAATGGGACTTCAGAGGAATGTGGATTCTTCAGAGAAATGTGGATTGATGCCAGGCTGCCAGTCAGGGACAGAGATTCTGCCAAAGTTAAGTCTGAAAGAAGAGATCTTTTTCAGGTGAACTTATTTGGCAGTCTTGTGGAGTTAGTGGACAAAGATTGACCTTTGTTACGAAACTTTGGGATCTCTACTCTGCTTTGCGTAACAGTTTATGGTTTTTCCTTTGAGTTGTTCTAGTGATCATATTGCTCCTCCCATTTCCTCACTAGCATCAGAAGAGCGGTAGCTGTCAATTATTTAGTGTATAGTATTCATTCATTCTTTCATTCATTTACTCAGCAAATATTTCCTGAGGGCATGTGTGCCGAGCACTGTGCCAGGTGATACATGCTGGGGACACATTAGGGAACAGGACACACAAGCTCTTTACTTTAAAGAAACTTACATATTAGAGGAGAAGACTGTATAGTAACTGATCACAATGATTTTAGAGTATAGTAAATTGCCGGGAAGGAAATGAACAAGGTGCTATGTTAGAGAAGAATGCGGGTGGGGAGTTCTTCAGGGTGGTAGTCTGGACTAGTTTGGATAAGCAAATCGATGGGTAGAAATGTAATGCTCTAGAAAGGTAGGGGAAGGGCATTATTTGGAGTGGTATTATGGTTTTGTGGTTAATGTATTAGTTAAAAAATATTGATAAGGAATTAGGAAACTCAGTGTCAGTCTTCATAATAGATTCAACTGAAATGAATGAGCTAGGATGGTCAATTTCCACATTTGGTTAGGAAGCTGCTGCAATTGGGCCATGATCATTCCATTCCAGTGCAGTTTGAGTCTTACGTGTTTATTTCTTCCTCAGGTGGAGGCCTGAATTTTGATCGATGTCCTCCTTACATCCTCTGCCTAAAGGTACTTAATGATCTCATGACCCTGGACATGGATGCTGTCCTGTCGGACTTTGTTCGTTCCACAGGAGCTGAGCCAGGGCTGGCCCGAGACCTCCTAGAAGGTAAGAGGTCACTGGGGGAGAATGAGAAGAAAGTAAAATGTGGTATTTATTAAGATGATTTGGGACATTTAAGGTGATCAGAAAGACACTTTGTGAATGGTAGGCCTTATATTTAAATTATTTCTAATAATCTACTCTGTGTGTGACCCACCATAATTTTAAAATGCAAAATCTTCCTTTTGCCTTGAATTTTTTCAGGGTAGCTTTCTGCACTGCCAATTTAATGCTCAGGTAATACAAGTGAAATGTTATATTAGTTCACTGAAAGTATAACTCTAGATCTTTAAGACTTATTTATACAGTCAAACCTTGGTTCTTGAATGCCTTGGTTTTCAAACAATTTGGTTCTCAACCAAGGTGTTCATGGAAAAAATGTCTCGGTTCTCTAAGAAAACCTTGGGTCTCACTTCTCTACCCCAGAATCCTCTCATGCTGATATCTCTATGATTAGTCACACGTCTCAGATGACAGACAAAGGAGATTCGGTTTTGATTGCTTCTTGAATAGTTTTCCAGAACAAATTAAGCTCGAGAACCAAGGTTCCACTTTAAATGGCTTTTGGGTTTTCATATTTGGGATCATTCATGGTTTTGGTTTTTTTTTCTTTTTCCTTTCCTACTTAATATGGGTAATTCTGTTTAGAGTGAGTTAATTTTGCTCCTTTTGTTTACTTATACCTGTATATACATGTCAGTGTGAATGTTCTAGATCTTAAGGTCTTTAAGGCTTGGAATCATGCGATGTGGAATCTTTGTTTGGCATCATTACTAACAGATGCTTTTTGATGATGAAAATATATAATAATGCAGATAGATAAGTCTATGGGGAAAGGGGCAAGTTCGTAGTATAAATGGGTAGTTTTTTTAGATTGTGAGAAAGGTGTCACCATTTGACATTTGCTTAGCTACCCATGAGTGGAGCCTTAGTTTGGAAATAGAAGATCAGGGTTTAAACTTCTGGTATTATAATTCTAAAACTGAGGTTCAAAGAGGTTAAGTAGGATTTGAACCTAGGCAGTCTGGTTTCAAAGTCCAGCTCTTAACAGTTCTATTATAAAATAATGCTCACGTGTTCCCTCTCTCTCTCTCTCTCTTGCTCTCTCTGGCACACATCCCCATACCCATGGGCACACACACTCATGCTGTGAAACGAGTGCTATGGAAGTGTAAGGTACAAACCCAAATTAGCTAGCGAGTGCAGAAAGGCCTTCCTGAGGAAGTGGCATTTGAATCAAACCCAGAAGGAATACAAAGGAATGTGGAAGAGAATGCTTGCTTATTAGAAGAATTAGCTTCTACAGGGACCCCAAGGAGAAGGAGAGTTTGGCACATTAGAAAAACCAGTGAAAGAGGTAGGAAGACTGGTGTAAAAATGGTAGGAAGCTGGTCAGGTAGGCAGGAAACAGGACGTGGTGGGTGGCTTTGTAGCCATGACAAGGAGCTAAAGTTTCTCTCTTCTGTGGGAAGCTGGTGAAGGATTTTAACCAGGGGAGTAATGTGATTGGGTTTGAGTTTTTAACAGTGTACTAGTCGAAAGATGCGGAATGGATTGGAAGGTGGCCAGAGGAGAAGTGGTAAAATCAGTTAAGGATATGGTAGTAGTTTAGGTGGGAGAGGTAGCAGCAGAGTGAGAGGTGGATGGGTTTAAGATACAGTTTAGAAGTGGGATTAAAGGGCCTGATTGTCATTTTCTCTCTGTCTCTTTCTTTCTGTCTCTTTTCCCTTTAAAAGTTAACTCTGGTCGTAATATTAAGAATTAATTGGAGGAAAAAAAGAAAAAATGAGAGAGGGGATAGATTAAGATTAGAGAGACTAGAGAGAGCCCCTCTGCAAAGACCAAGGACCAGGTAAAGATCATCAGGACTTGAGTTAGGACAGTGACAATAGAAAGGGACAAGAAAGGAGAGATGTGAGAGCTGTGTCAAGGACAGACAGCCTGAGGACTGACTGGATAGTGAAGGAAGAGGAAGAATGGGATCTGAGGACTAGTGAGGAGCTGGAGAGGACTGATGTTTCGGGTTGGAGGGACCGGATGCCACTGCTGACTGAGAGAATGTCAGAGGAGGAAAAGAAGCAAGTTTTGGGAGGGAAGATGATGGACTCTCACCTTTGGACATGTTGATTGTTTAGGAGGCCCTGATTTTAAGGAGTTCAGCAGACAGCTGAAGATTAGATCCATTGCTCAAGATAGATGTCATTCACTCATTCATTCATTCAGGACAGAAGTTCTCCATTCTTCAAAAAATATTTATTGAGTAACTACTATGTGCCAGGTTCTAGATACTTGAACAAGACAAACAAAAATCTCTGCCCTTTTAGTGGGAAAGATAGTCAATAAATAACAAACATGATAACCAAGTAAACTATTATAAGGTGTTATGGAAAATAGGGGAATGATGAGGCTGTGATTTTAATTGGGTGGTCAGGGTAGGCCTTACTAAGAATGTGCCGTTTGAGAGCCCTGGCTGGTGTAGCTCAGTGGATAGAGCGCGGGCCTGCGAATCAAAGGATCGCGGTTCGATTCCCAGTCAGGGCACAAGCCTGGGTTGCAGACTGCTTCCCTGCAGGCCAGTTCCCAGCAGGGGACGCACGAAAGGCAGGGGACGCACGAAAGGCAACCATACACTGATGTTTCTCTCCCTGTCTCCTTCCCCTCTATAAATAAATAAATAAATAAAATCTTAAAAAAAGAAAAGAAAAGAATGTGCCCTTTGAGTAAGTACCCAAAGGGGTTGAGGAGTCACCTGTGTAGATATACTGGGGAAGGAGCAGTGGGAAGAGTTAGCGGAAAGGCTGTAGGTGGGCACAGTCTTGAGCATGTTCTGGGAAGAGCAAAGAGGCCAGTATGATGGAAGCAGAGTTAACAGGGAGTTGGGACAAACGATGAATGTAATGGTTCAGAAGTGAATTCAGCAGACACGGCCAATTAATACAGTTAACTGGAGAATCATAATAATAAGGAGAAACATAACAGCAACATGATTATGCACATGGATAACGCTTTCTGTGTACCAAACACTGTTCCAAGTACTTTCAATTCACTTAATCTTCATAACAACCCAATATGATATCGCCTCCACTTTCATAGGCAGGGAAATCGAAGTATAGAAAAAAAAAAACTAGAAAAATAAACCAGGGCCCTAGCTGGCATGGCTCAGTGGATTGAGTGCCGGCTTGCAAACCAAGGGGTCACAGGTTTGATTCCCAGTCAGGGCACATGTCCGGGTTGCAGGCCAGGCTTCCCTATGTGGGGCGTGTGAGAGACAACCACAGATTGGTGTTTCTCTCCCTCTCTTTCTCCCTTCCTTCCTCTCTGTCTAAAAATAAATAAATAAAATCTAAAAAAAAAAAAGAAGAGTACACCAGGTCGTAGGAAGTCTTGAATGTCATGCCCAAGAGCCCAGGCTTTTGTTCCACAGACTGTGGTTAGACCGTAAAGACTGACTAGGACGTCAGAATGTCAGGACTGTGATTTAGAAAGAGTAATCTCGTGGAATTCCTTAGAGTGGACCGGAGGTGGGACACCAGGCCTAGGACTGCGGTAAGGAGCCCGCAGATGGGGTAGAACAGGAGGAAGAGTGAACAGTTGTGCAGCGTGTTATTCACTGAGTAATTTAACTGGAGAAAGCAATAGGAAAAACCATGTGGCAGATATGTCTTTTAGGGTCTTCAGTAGAGCAGTGATTCTTCAGTTTGGGGAGGTTAATTCCCTTTGATAATCTAATGACAGCTAGTTGCTCTTTCTTCAGAAAAATGCACATAACTATAACTTTGTGTACAATTTCAGGGGGCTTAGGACATCCTACAGGACATCTAGGTAAATAACCCACTGGACCTCAGAATTAGGGGACCTGGACCTGGTCTTGACTCCCGCTGGGCCTGGTACAGACTAGCTGTAACTTTGGCCAAGTCACCCCATTTCATTAAGCTTCATACCCTTTACATGTCAAATGAGGTTTCTAGGTCTCTCAAGGGCCCTTCCACTACAGAGAGACAAAATTTCTATGTTCGTGGGGCTTACCTAGGATATTGACAGTAAGCAAAGAAATTGTGATATTTCAGATAGAAGTGTTAGAAAGAGAGTTAAAGCTGGGTAAGGAAAGGAGAGGGATCGAAGTGTGCGTGAGTATGTGCCTGCTGATTTTGATAGGGTGGGTAGAGTGATCACTGAGTGTCTTCCCTCAGTTTCCCTGTGCTCTGAGTGCTCAATTCACTTTTTCCCCGTGTCTCCTGACAGGAAAGAATTGGGATGTGAGTGCCGCCCTCAGTGATTTTGAACAGCTACGTCAGGTCCATGCTGGGAACCTGCCCCAACCCTTTAGTGAAGGCAGCAGTGCCTCCAGGAGCCCTGAAAAGGGCTTTTCTGATAGAGAGTCTGCTCGCCCTCCCCGACCTCCCCTCCAGCGGCAGGATGACGTCGTTCAAGGTACTTGGGTGACTGAGGGTGTTTCTGTGTGCGGAGTAGAAGGGAAGGGCAGGGCTGTTAAATGGGGTCAGAGTTCAGTGACCTTTGGAGATAGTTCTTTCCTTCCCCTGGTCCCCAGGCAGACTGGTCAGAGGGGGCCTCAGGCTGGCCAGGTCCTGGAGTCCCTCCCTGTCACTCCGCATTTCGAGTGTTACCCAGTGTGAATGCCTTCTTCAGATACTGTGACAAAATAGAGGAAGGGGGATGCAGTCTAATTGCTGTGATTGGGACACATAAAAATAGAATTCAAAGGGTCGCCACCATCTACTTCTTTGGGGGACATTCTGCTAATGTTGTCACTACCAAAATTTAAAAATGCATGTATCCCCCTGACTCAGCAGTTCCATTTATAGGAATTTATCATGTGTTCACGTGTGCATATAGCTCTATAGCCTTTAAATGAATACATACATATATAAATAGACACACGTAAAGCTTGAAAGTTAAAGCTTGAAAACTACTTTTTTGAAAGCGTTTATTTATTTATTTTTAGAGAGAAGGGAAGGGAAGGAGAAAGAGGGAGAGAAACATCGATATACGAAAGATACATCTATCATTTGCCTGAATGGGGGACCTGGCCTGCAACCCATGCATGTGCCCTGATTGGGAATCGAACTGGCAACCTTTTGGTCCACAGGCTGGCACTCAGTCCACTGAGCCAACCAGACAGGGCTGAAAACAACTTTTAATGTCCATTAATAGAGGAGTGGTTAAATAAATTGTAAAAATTCATATTGTGGAGTATTCTACAGCTGTTAGAAAGAATTAGGTGGAAATAGATGTGCTGTTTTGGAAAAATCTGTCGAATCTATTGAGAAGAGTAAGATGCAGTATATAGTTTACTCCTGTTTAAGGGTTTTTTTTTTGTTTTTTTTTTAAAGATTTTATTTATTCTTAGAAGGGAGGGAGAAAGAGAGGGAGAGAAACATCAAGGTATGGTTGCCTCACATGTGGCCTCCACTAGGGACCTGGCCTGCAATCCAGGCATGTGCCCTGACTGGGAATCAAACTAGCAACCCTTTGGTTCGCAGCCCACACTCAATCCACTGGGCTACACCAGCCAGGGCCCATTTAAGTTTTAAAAATGACTTTAAAAGCCATATACACTTCTATGTGTATAAAAAATTCTGGAAGGCTATAAAAGGTTGCCTCTGGGTAAGGGATCAGGAATTTTGAATGAGAGGGAAATTTCTTGGTAACATTTGTACCTTTTGATAGTATTTGATTTTTCACAATGGGCATGTGGTTCTTTTCAAATACCTCAAAAAAGAGGTTAGAAAAATAACATCACTCGCCCAGAATTGTGTGGCTCAGTTAGTGTGGCATCATCCCACAGAGTGAAAGGTCGCCAGTTCAATTCTCAATCGGGATACGTGCCTGGGTTGCAGGTTCAGTCCCTGGGTGGGGCACATACAAAAGGCATCCAACTGATATTTCTCTCTCACATCTGTGTTTCTTTTTCTTTCTCCCTCCCTCCCCTGCTCTCTAAAAATAAATAAAATCATTTAAATGGAAAAAAAATCATTTTATTAAAATGATTTTAATAAAATCATTAAAATGAAAAAACATCACTATAAAATAACTTCTATAATAACTTTAAAAAAACTAACTTTTAAACAAATCTCAGCTTTGTGCATCATCTCTGGCAAATACTGGGTTAAGAACTGCTACCCAATACATTTTTTAGCTCTTTTGCTAATATTTATATAACCCAAACCATGCAAATGAATTGTAATACTGCACTGAGCAGATTATCCCAGTGGGATATCTGCTGGCGGATTATAAGTGCCATGTATTCAAAATAAATAACTCGAGGCAGTGTCTGTATTACTGTCTTCCTCTGTAGCATGTTAAATAAGAATCAACTGTACCTATACATTTCTGATAAATGGGAGTATCAAGAAAAGTTGTAGTTAATCATGTATATAAATGTTATTGATGGTAGGTAAGGAAGTTCCTGAGTGTGTAAGATTTTTCATTAACTTTCTATAATGGAAAATGCTTTTCTATATTCTCCAAGACCCTGAAAATTATTGGAGATACTATTCGAGTCAGTCTGGCCAAGTGCAGCCCCATTTCCCATATTCCCTCTTCCTCCCACCAAACAGTGACCAGGTTGCCAGATGAAGGGGTCCCTGTTATGTTGGGAAATGAAAGTGGAAAAAGACAGAGTCATGGGGAGAGGAAGTTAGGAAAATTCCCAAAATGGTAGAAAGGAATGTATGTTTGGTGCTAATGTGAGTGCACAAAAATGCCACTTTCTGCATTTCTTCAGTTGTATTTGGCTTGAGATGGAGGGTTGTGGTATTTGGTAGCCAGTGAGACTTGTGGTTTTTCCCTGAGTGGAAAGTTCTCTGAGTGAGCTGTGTATATTCTAAGGTGACTCCATTTCTCATTGCAGAAAAACGCCTGTCTAGGGGCATCTCCCACGCCAGCTCCAGCATTGTTTCCCTGGCCCGGTCCCATGTCTCCTCCAATGGTGGGGGTGGGGGGAGCAGTGAGCACCCCCTGGAAATGCCCATCTGTGCCTTCCAGCTTCCAGATCTCACTGTGTACAATGAAGACTTCCGCAGCTTCATAGAGAGAGACCTCATTGAACAGTCCATGCTGGTTGCCTTGGAACAGGCAGGTCAGTGAGCGCTTCCCTTTCCACGTTCTCCCCTCTGCTCTCTACCTGTAGGCAGCTGCGCAGTGGGGCGGGGCTTGACCAGTAGCTCCCAGGGTACGTGTGGGATCTGATTCCAGTCCCAGCCAGCAGTCAGTCAGGTAAACATTTATTGAGCTGGGCACTTCTTCAGGTTAAAGAAAGGACACACAGTAGACACTGCCCTCTGGAAATTTCCTGTTGGGTGAAAGGGAAACCAGATATACACATCAAAGGCCTAGGAATCAATATCTAAAAATCTGTACATGAAAAAAATAGAAATGAATTATAATTGGTTCTGGAACAGCCTGTGAACAGAGAGGACCAGCGCCTTAGACGATGCCCAGTGGTGATTAATCTGAGTCATGTTTATTTATGTAAACTTTTCCCAAAAGATTTGTTTACCTTTACAGTTGTGTTTGTTTTAATCTCGTTAAATTGGTTAGTATGACGGGGTGAGCTGACTGGGGTTAGTCAGGAAGTTAGTCCGGTGTTAGAAACTCCCCTGAAGGACTGCAGGGTGGGGGGGGGCACGGAAAGGACGCTTTTCTTCTTCATTTTGCACCTTTCCACACTAACTGTGTACCTTGACTTACGTGTATTTTTAAAGTTAGCAAGTTATCTGGCAAGATTACAGGCCAGTTTTTTTGTATAGACTCTTTAGTAATTTTTTAAAAGATTTTATTCATTTATCTTTAGAGGGGAAGGGAAGGAGAGAAGGAGAGAAACATCAATGTGTGGTTGCTTCTCGTGTGTCCCCCGCTGGGAACTGGCCTGCAACCCAGGCATGTGCCCTAACTGGGAATTGAACCACGATCCCTTAGTTCCCAGGCTCACGCTCAATCCACTGAGCTACACCAGCCAGGGCATAGACTCTTTAGTAATTTAAGAAAACTTTTGTGCATCATTCATAAAATATTTTCCGTATGTAAATAATGAGTTGGCTAGTTGTGGGATGATGCTACAGAACCGAGACTCATCTTCTTGGGTGTTTTATGTACTTGGTCTTATTACTTCTGTCTTGAAAGTCATATTGTATATGAGGTCTGTCCGGAAAAAGTCCAGCCATTGTTAATATAATGAGGACAGTTTGTGCATCATCGAGATGACCTGGCAGGCAAGGAGAGTGGACTGGCATGCGCATGTGTGGACAGTGACTAGTACCTCACTGTACTAGTCAGTAGGGGCAGTGGACACCCTTGAGTGAGCATGTGCACTGTGTGGCTGTCACATTCAAAATGGCTGAGGGAGTAGAACAACAAATCTGCATCAGATTTTGTATTAAGCTTGAACATTCCTCTGTAGAAAGTATTCAGATGATTCAGAAGGCTGCAGCCACGGGCAATGGGTGATTGGCCACTTCACCATGACAGTGCGAGTGTGCCACCATGTGTCATGTCTGTGCAGACTTTTTTGGCAAAAATCAGATCACCCAAGTAACCCAGTCCCCCTCTGCAGCCCAGGTTTGGTGCCCAGTGACTTCTGGCTTTTCCCAAAACTAAAATCACTTTTGAAAAGGAAGAGATTTCAGACTGTTGAAGAGATTCAGGAAAATACAACAGGGTAGCTAATGGCAATTGGGAGCACTGTGTGAGGTCCTTACTTTGAAGGGGACTGAGGTGTCATTGTCCTGTACAGTGTGTCTTGTATCTTCTTCAGTCAGTGTCTCTGTCTCTCGTGTTACATGGCTGGATACCTTCTGGCCAGACCTGCATGCTGACGTGCTGTCACGTGCAGATGATACTTGAACACTTTGAACACATGCTTGAGGTTCTTTTTCTTTTACCGATGATGGATTTGTGCTGAGCGCGGTTGCTGCAAAACTTACCTGATCTCCTGAGTGAAGGAATCAGACCAAGTAGCCAATACAGAGCTCGACCTATGACCTTGGCCTCATCATCTAACCCAGGGTCACTCAGTCTTAGGGCTGTTGACCTTTAGGACCAGATAATTTTTTTTTTCTGAGCTGTCTTGTGCATTGTGCTGTGTTTAGCAGGCTCCCTGGGCCTCTACCCATTAGATACCAGTAGGATCACCCTACCATTTGTGACAACCAGACATATTTCCAGACATTGTCAGATGTCCCCTTGGGGACAGAATTGTCTCCAGTTGAGAACCACTGATCTAACCAGTTGTGTTCACTGGATTCTGATCAATTAGATTTAAGTGAAGATGTACAGAGTAATAGCATGACGACTTTGTCCTGGAAGGCTTCCTAGAGGAGGCAAATTTGTAGTATGTTTTAAGAATAGGGAGGTGAGAAGGGCTTCGTGGGTAATCTGCTCCTGTCTTCCTGTTTCTGTAGGGCGTTTGAACTGGTGGGTGAGTGTGGACCCCACTTGTCAGAGGCTGCTTCCCTTAGCAACTACTGGAGATGGAAACTGCCTTCTGCACGCAGCCTCTCTCGGTGAGTCTTGAAAATGGCCTTTTGTCCCTTGTAGAAAGGAATCAGAGATCAATGTCATGCGCAGGACTTGGGTGCGCACACGTGCTGGTGCAGGGGCAGCTGGAAGACAGCCCTGCCCGGGTTTTTTCGGTCTTACTGAGAAGTCATGGAGAGCACAGGCTTAGCATGGGTCCCACTCTGAGAGGTGACCCTCAGAAGTAATGAGCAGCAGAAAACAAGCAATATATAGCTCTGTGTGTGCATATAATTCTACTTAATGTCTATTCTTCAGGTATATAGAAAAAGATAGGTCTTCATCTGTTCTTTGTGAGACTTGTTAACTTTAAATTATAAAGGTGGTTCATAACTCAATATATTACTTGCCTAGCTTTAAAAAGTCCCCGTTTTCCAACGGTCCATCAGGCTTTGAAGCTGATTGTCATGTGCCAGACCTGTCTTACCTGCTGGTGCCCGTTTAGTGTGTTAGACTTGCATCAGGGGTAAGGACTTCCTGTCAGTGGTTTGTAGGAAGGAGGTGGTATATCCTCCACCTCCAAGTCCTCCAGGTTTCTGAACCTCCAAAGTAGGACCATCTTCTCTTTCTCTACTAAGTACCTTTCCCCTGAGTCACAGAAGGGTTTCTTGAACTTGGGTTTCAGCCTGATTTCCTTCATGCCAGGGTCTGTGTATCATAATTAATGATACACAGGTGGAGTTGAGTCACGGTCAGGTGTCTCACTGTTACGTTTTCTTGCCACAGGGATGTGGGGTTTCCACGATCGGGATTTGATGCTGCGGAAAGCTTTGTATGCACTGATGGAAAAGGGAGCCGAGAAGGAAGCGTTAAAACGACGCTGGAGGTGGCAGCAAACACAGCAGAACAAGGAGGTGAGGGAACTTGGGTGGGAGAACCTTGTTTCCCAGAGTTACCCCGGGGAAATGCCCAGTGCCTATAGTAAGAAGTGTTTCCTGGTGTTTAGGGGCTTGGATCTTCCTGTAATCCTGGAGAATTGTAGAAAATACAGATAATACCACAGGGTAAACGTTTTCTGATACAGAGATGAGTACTGGTGTGGGGAATCCGAGACGTGTGCTTTTCACCTGGTAGGGGCAAAGTCTTTAGTGGTAGACTTTTGCAAAATGAGGTATGATGAGTTGGTAGGATTTTTGTATCGTTTTGATTTCATCGCTCATAATAAGACCAGTTTTTAAGGACTTGTATTTTAAACCCATATAGAAATATAAAATAAATGCTTAAAAGTATTTTGGGCCATATGTACCATTTATTTTTCAAATAGCTTGTTTAAAAATTTTTAAAGTATGCCTGTTACATTGAATTTGAATGGTACTTCTCAGGGGTTTAGCCAGTGTTGAAGCTGTTTTTGTACATGAATGTAAAAATGGATTGTTTGTACTTTCCATCCTCGTAGCAGGGGTTGGGCAAACTATGGCCTGTGAGCCAAGTCCCACCAACTGTTTTTGTAAAAAAAAAAAAAGTTACTGGAACACAGCCCCACCCATTTATTTACATGTGTATGTTTATGTAAGTGCTTTCCTGCTACAGCAGCAGGACAGAGTGGCTGGGTATGGCCCACGGAGGCTAAAAAATGTACTATTTGGCTCTTCATAGAAGCAGCTTACCCCCCCTTCCCTTTAATACTGACATTAACATTTGTATAAACACAGTGGGTCTCCCTGCTTCCTTTTCCACTGGTTCTGTCTTCTGTGTTTATCTCCTGCTCTTTGGGTATATCCTTTTTTTGCTATGTATATATCTAGCTGGGAGTTTCTGGAATTAATGAGGTTTCTCTTCAGAGACTTAAAATTCTCCTTTCCATCTTCTTTTCTTCTTTTATTGTTGTATCATAACGGACAATATATAGAACTAAGAGACTTTTTGGTTTTAGTCGGAATTTTGTGTCCTGAAGACTAAATATGTAAGTAGAATGTGTTCTGTTTCTTTTTCAAAAACAAAGAACCCATTGTTAAACTTAGGATGGTACTAAAATGAGAGTTCTATCTTTGGTCAGCAGTCCGCCCTAGAAGAAATTTCCTGAGGAAAATAAATGCACAGGGCAAGGCCAAGGAAACGGCACGTTCTTTTGCCTGACCTAGAGCCAGCCCAGAGTTTGTCTTCTTCACACCATACCTGAACCTGAACCTTGTATTTGACCACTTGGACAAGTAAAGGCCAAACCAGAGCACGCTGGTTATTAAGTAGAAGTGATAGCAACAGTCAGAGAATAGGGTGCCCAATTCCAGCTTTTAAGCTTGAATGTATAGTTATTATTTAGATTTATTTTTAGAGAGTGAAGGAGGGAGAGAGAGAGGGAGAGAAACAGCAGTGTGTGGTCGCCTCTTGTGCACTCCCCACTAGGGGTCTGGCCTAACCCAGGCATGTGCCCTGACTGGGAATTGAACCGGTGACCCTTTGGTTCACAGGCTGGCACTCAGTCCACTGAGCCACACCAGTCAGGGCCATAGTTGTTGTTTTAAAGGTGAGGTTAGGTTATGATAGTATTTAGCGAGGAGACTCCCTGAAAAATACACGCATAGAGAATAGTGATTCTCAAAGGAGCAATCTTTTTACTCCTTTTGCTGGGCACATTAAAAGTTCCATACTATAAATATAGCCTGGAATAAAATAATTTTTTTAGTGTGTTTAGCACCTTTTGGCATCTCTGGGCCACACTGGAAGAAAAAGAGTTGTCTTGGGCCTCACATTAAATTCACAAACATTACTGAAAGTTGATGAGCCAAAAAAAGGTTTTAAGTAAGTTTCCGATTTTGTGTTGGGCCGCACTCATAGCCATCCTGGGCCACATGCGGGCTGAGGGCCCCGGGTCGGACACCCTTGAGTCATTGTTTCAGCTCAGATTGTTCAGCCCTTGGGAGTGGGGCTGGAGGGAGGGTGGTGATGGACTGGGAGCTTCTATTAGCCAAGACCAGACACACGAACAAACTAAAATGGTTTTGATTTCCCAGAACTTTTTTGTGTTGAAATTGGTGGTAAAACCCAGTAAGGACGTTTTCAGGCCAGAAGGGTACGCCACCTAGTGGCTGTGTGGGTAGAAGAACAGCAAGCAGTGACTATCCCAGTGACCAGAGCACCCCGATATAACCTGTGCATAGTTCTTACTATTTTCAATCGAAAAAAATGTGATGTCATTTTACAAACTAAAGTAGCTTTGTCACTTTTTAAATTAAAGTATAATGTGCTCAGAGTAGCTCTTTAATTCCTGTTAAGTTTGTTCCTGACCCCCTCATGTTTCCAAAACTCATTTTAATGTAATGTGAGCTGAATTTAATAAGGTAGACTGGTCTCCCAAATCATCATATACATCCTAAAACCAATATAATATTTGTAAATTGTTTGTACTACTTCTGCTTCTTCGATGAAAATTATAGTTTCACTTAGCACATGTATTTAATGATTATGGATTACATAGTAGGCACTAGATATTTTGCATAAACTTGGTTCAGGCCCTTAAAAGTAGCAGTAGGAGAGGGACATGCAAATACCTAGTTACAACAGAGTAGTGGGTGATGGCTTCCGGGATAGCAGTCTGTGTAGCAGTTGAGGAGGGAGAGCACAAGGGAAGTAGCGGTTGATCTCCCAGGAAGGTTTAGGAATGGCTTCATGGGGGAGTGGTACTTGAGTTCTCTCTCCTGACAGCTGAGAAAGTATTCGCCAGGTGGATAGGGAGTCCTGAGCTGCTCCAGGCAGGAGGACAAGCAACTTAGATAAGGGGCGTCAGACTCATTTTCACCCGGGGCCACGTCAGCCTCGTGGCTGCCTTCAAAGGGCCGAATGTAATTTCAACTTCTTAGCAGTTGAGGAGTAGTTACATTAATACAGTCCTAAAGTTATTTTGACCCTTTGAAGGCAACGGTGAGGCTGATGTGGCCCCCAGTGAAAATGAGTTTGACACCTCTGACTTAGAGGCTCAGAAGTGTCAAACAGCGTGGTGCATGGAAGACACTGCAGCTAACTAAATGAGCTTTTGGATTGGAGAGGAGGGTAGGGGCCAGGAGGTGGAGTTTGTGTGCTCTACTTGAGGAGTATGCTGTATGTGACAGGTAATGATAATTCTTAAAGAAGTTTGTAGCAGGGAGCAGACACCATTAAGTTTTCACTTACAATGAATCTTTGCGGTGGCATTGTGGACAGTGGATCAGAAGAATACATGACCGGAAGTAGTAAACCCAGTTTTAAGGGTCCATTGCAGTAGTTCATGCTCAATGGTTGTTGACCGAAGGGATCTGGGTGTGGGTAGGTGACAGGAGAGGAGTCTTTGATAACTCCCTGGTTTCTGACTGTGGTGTTGGAGTGCTGTTTAGTGCTCTTCACTAAGGTAGGAACACAGAAGAGTGGCTTTGGAAGAGGTAGGGGTTCAGTTTTGACTGTGTAGAATTCGAGGTAGTTGTAGGCAGATGGTGATCTTAAGTAGGCAGCTGAGTGTGAATATAGGAATTCTGTTCCTGACAGGAGTTCAGGAAAGGGGATTAAAGACCCTTGGGGAAAAGAACAAGGTGTAAATTAGAACAGTGCAAAATTCTCAGAAGACTCAGAGTAGAACAGTGGGAGTCGATTGATGAGGGGTCTTAGGAAAGAATTGTTAAGCAGGGGTTGGAATGAAGGGGAGGACTCAATCCCAGGACTTTACTCTGGCAGAGCAGGGTAAAGGGACTGCCCACTAGGCAAGAGCATAGCCTCAGTGATAATCTTTGTGGTGTCTAGCAGCTGGAGAGGGAGAGGTTAGAGCCCTGACCAAGTAGGTGGCAGTAGATGAACTAGATGGTGGTATAGGGGAGGAGGTAACCCAGAGGAACCAAGGTTAAACTCATCAACACAGCATCAGTGTTTCTGAGGTAGCAGCATTCACAGAGGTAGGAGAAAGTAATACTGTGGAAGCTAAAGGAGAAGGGAATTTAAAGAGGAGATCAAATGCCACATGAAGGCTAAGAAAGATGAGAACCAGAGTCAGGCTGGCAATTAGAAGGTCACCATCCTTTGACCAGAATTGGCTCGGTGAAGTGTGTGGGAGGTGAAGGGCTCGGAGGGCAGAAACAGAAGCTAGATTGCAGTGGGTTGGGAAGACTGGAAGAAAAAGAAATGTGAGAGAGATTGTAGACTATGCTTTCATGGATCTTGGTTTTCAAAGGAAAAAGAGATTTGACTTTGGAGTATAAATTGTAGGCCAAGTGTTTAAAGAATAGGGAGTGGGGTAACGTGAGTCAGTTGGAATGGCTGTTGCCTCTTGAATCTAGCCTCTAATTGCTTGATATCCAATGCCTGTCTTTCACACAGTCAGGGCTGGTATACACAGAGGATGAATGGCAGAAGGAATGGAATGAGCTGATCAAGCTTGCCTCAAGTGAGCCCCGCATGCATCTAGGTACCAATGGAGCCAACTGTGGTGGGTACGTATGGCTGAGTGGGGAGCAGGAAATAACCTTACCGGAGTCCTCAAGTCTAAAGCACCGTGTGCTAAGAGGATGTTAGGAGGAAGGAGAGGGGCCATGGCACGGGCACAGGATTGTCTAACAGCATGGTGTGGTCTGGGAGCTCTAGGTAGTTCAGTATTGCTGGAATGTTGGGCGCATGGTGCAGAGTGGTAGATGAAGCCAGGCAACCCAGATTTGTGTGTGCCGTGCCTAGGAGGTGAAGTTGTGTCCTACCTGGACTTTGGGAAGCTGCAGGACAAATGACCCAATTCCCTCAATAAATAAATCACAAGGAAAATAATAGGGGAGAGGGAATGTAAGTTTAAAGACAGTTAAGAGACATATCAACCAATTGGAATGTATGGACGTATGTAAGACAGTTAAGGAAATGTGAACAATGTCTACATGTTTGATCATTGTTAACTTTTTTAAGTGTGATCCTAATAGCATTGTGAGTACTTTTAAAAGGAGTCCTCTTATTTTTTAGAGATAGATAGAAACCAAAATATTTATGGATGAAATGCTGTGTCTAGGCTTTGCTTCAGGATAATTGGGTGTGTGGGGTGGTGGCTGTTAGGGTAAGATGTAGGTGTAGGTGAAATGAGACACTGTGTTTCTAATTGTGGCCGGTGATGGATCCATGAGAGTTTAGTATAATATTCTTTCTAGTTTGGAATATACTTATAATTTTTTGTTAATAAAATTAAACTCCAGATTTCAGTACTTCCACCCTTGAGTTGGATTGGGTAGGACCCGGAACTCTGCATTTGTAGCAAGCACCAGATGTTGAATAACATCACCTTACCGGGGCGGAAAGCCACTGAGTTGTGAGCACACGAGTGACAGGAGCAAATCTGTGTATGAAACACACCGACAGCAGAATGGGTGATGAAGTGGAGGGCAGACTAGGTGCAGTTGTGGTGATGCAAGACAGAGAGAGCCCTGGGCGGCGCGGGGTGGTGGATTGCAAATAAGCCAGAGCAGACAGACACAGAGACACTTGGGAGGAGAATTGGCCAAACCAGGGGATTAATTGGAGTTGAGAGATAAAGAAAGTACTTCATAGATTTCTGGTTAGGCTACTAGGTAGGTAGGAGGCTGTTCTCCAAGTAAGGAAACATAGGAAGAATTTGGGGTTTTGTTTTTATTGGACCGGGTGTGATGTGTGGGTGGTTGTGGCAGGTGAAGTTAGCAGGATGAGGCAACTCAGTTGTGTATTTAGCTACTTTATAAAGAGAGTTGGGGAAGGTTTTTGAACAAGACGAGTATTGAGAGGAGTTGCCTTCACATTCCTACCACTGCTTTAACCGTAGAGCCTTCAGATCGCTTTGCTTGAATTTCCTCATCTGTAAGATGGAAGTGGAAGCAGTGGTAGGAGCTTAAAATAATCAGCTCTGTCTGTGGCAGCCTTAGGGGTGGAAGACCAGGAAAGGACGCCCTTCTTTGTCCCGTCTGCAGAACTGGTCTTCAGGGGTCTCTTGTTTTGTTTTCTTCCCTCTCCTGCCCACCGCACCCCTTCCACACTCTCCCCGCCTGCAACTCTAGAGCGGAGAGTTCAGAGGAGCCCGTGTATGAGAGTCTGGAGGAATTCCACGTCTTTGTCCTTGCTCATGTGCTCAGGAGGCCCATAGTCGTCGTGGCAGACACCATGCTGCGGGACTCCGGGGGAGAAGGTGAGTCCGTCAGCAGCGCTCACTGCGCCCTGAGCACCCACTGTCCACAGAGCCTTGGGCTCAGCTCTGGGAGGAGTGCCAGAAAGGGGGCATTGGGACCCTCGGGGAGAAAACAGGTGTAAATTGGAACAACACTAAATTGTCAAAAGATGCAAGTTGGGGTTAATTGATGAGGCTTTTTAGGAAACAGCTATTAAGCAGGGGTTGCAATGAAAAGGGGTGACTCAGTCGGCTGAGTGGGGTAGAGGGATCGCCTACTAGGCAGGAACATGGCCTTAGTGATCATCTTTGCGGTTCCCTGCAGCGTTTGCTCCTATTCCCTTCGGGGGGATCTATCTGCCCTTGGAGGTCCCAGCTGGCCAGTGTCACCGCTCCCCTCTGGTGCTCGCCTACGATCAGGCCCACTTCTCTGCGCTCGTGTCCATGGAGCAGAAGGAGAATGGCAAGGAACAAGGTGCTGAACACGGTGTCTGTGTCTCGGGTGTTTTGGCGTCTGTGTCATTTCCACCTGGAACAACTGAAATGAGAGAACACAGAGGAGGAAAGAATTTCAGTGATGTGCAAGCCCAGCTGGGACATGTTGATACTGTTCTACAGGACTAAGCTAGGCAAGGGTTTTAAAATTAAAAAAAAAAAAAAGGTGCAGGCAAAGCACTGTAGCCTGTATCCCCTGCTTCCTATTCTGAAGAGATTATGTGTTAAGGTCATAGAACCTTCCAAACGATGCTGTGCTGTATTTGTCTTACTGACTTTCAATTCCCTGAATCCACTTTAAGTGGCAAGAATATCACGAGTGTTCGTTAACTGGCTGGTTGGGGGGTCGTGGAGATGAGTGTCCTAAATTGTGTGTTGCGTTGTGAAGGAGAGCCTGCCTAGTATTTAATGCCAGGGTGGTTCACGCGTCAGACCCCAGAGGTGGCTAGTTACCATAAGAGGCCTGTTGTGTGAGTCCGTCCTTTTAGCAGAGTCGGTGTGCGTTCACTTGCCTCCTCCTCTCTCTGAAGAGACTCTTTGATGACGTGTTTTCCCCCCGCAGCTGTGATCCCACTCACAGATTCAGAGCATAAACTGCTGCCCTTGCACTTTGCTGTGGACCCTGGAAAGAGCTGGGAGTGGGGCAAAGATGACAGTGACAATGTCCGATTGGCCAGGTGAGGCAGACCTACCCCTTCCATCTGCTTCGTAGCCGTGATCTCTCACACAGACAGTGCCCGCCTCCCGGGCACCTTCCCACAGTGTGGCAGCAGGCCCGTCACACCGTAGCTCCGTGTCTTTGGGACGATGGGCAGGTGGGAGATGGCGGGCAGCAGGGCTCCCGCAGCGCAGAGCTGCTGCTTCTCTTGTGAAGGAGGGGAATCCCGGGCTCTCAGCGTGTTCTTTCCTTACGATATGAAGAGTGCTCTACGCTGAGGCGGCCGAGAGTCCCCAGAGCAGTGTCCGAAAATCAAGATGTTCAATTCACAGTTCTTCTCCCCCGGACTAAGCGAGAGGGGCTTTAAGTAGCTGGCCAAAATAATTTGCTCTGGATTTTTGCCTTTCTGGAATTTAAACAGCAAGAAATATTCTCCCCCACCCCGTGCCCTGCTTCCCACCACTGCTTCCTGTTGAGAGCGTGTGAGTGTAAACACTCCTCCTCCCCCGGCGCTGCCTTCTTCGGGCTCCGGAAACAGACCCAGCCGAGAGGGTTTGATCGAAAAACCCAGAGTTTATGGCTTTTTAAGTAAGTTCTCACCTCACTTTCAAAAGCTCCTTCCAAATGATATTTATAGCAGTGGTAACAATGGCTGTGTAGTAAGAATTTCCTGTTTATTAGACACTGTGCTGTGTGCCCCTTCTAAATGCTATTTTAATCTTCACAACAGCCCTACAGGATTTAGTATTATCTATGCCCATAACTGACCCCATCTGAGTTTCAGAGAGGTTGAGGTGACTTGCTCAAGGTCCTCAGGCCTAGGAATTGGTGGTGCCATAATTCAGACCTAACCCTGAGTCCCGGGCCATGTGGCCTTCACCCACTCTCCCTCCCAAATGACAGCAGTGCTTTGCTTTGAAAGATCTCAGTACATTTCTAATTCCTTTCTGTCCTTTCACAGTGTGATCCTGTCCCTAGAGGTCAAATTGCATCTGTTGCATAGCTACATGAGTGTGAAGTGGATCCCAGTGTCGTCGGACACACAGGTGAGAATGGGGGAGAACAAGCAGATCCGGTGGCTCTTTCTTTCTGAATATCTTCTGAGTTGTGGCTTACGATTCAAGATTAGCAATAACCGGACAATGTCAGAAAAGTTCCCAAAGTCCCTTTTTCCTGCCTTTCTGTCTGTCAGTGCCCCCCATTTTCCACATTTCCTCTCCAGCCAAGCTCTGCTTTCCAATATGAAAACACATTCTTCAAGAAAAGTGTTCTGGACATTTTGGTAAACTTGATGTTGTCATTACTTTGTCCTGAACTGTCTGTACATAGACCTCCACGTTGGTACCAGAGGAGACAGAGCAGCTTAAAGAGCTCCTGACCCAGCAGGCGCCGAGGACATCGTTAGTTCACACAGAACAGGAGCATGGGCAGGGCAGTCTGCTGGCGTCCTGTGCTGAGCGTCCAACAGTCCGGGGGCTCCAGAATGGCTCGAGCGGGTTGGTTGGGATTAGTCAACACTCAACCTTGAGTTTCATTTTGGGATGAATTCGGCATGGAGAAGTTTACGAGAAGAGACATCCCCCTGCCGCAGAAGGAAGTCAGTGCAGGGGCGAGATGGACACTGGGTGTTAGATACAGTTTTCCCTTGTCTGAGGGACAGTGACTGGAACTGAGGAAGGACTGTGCCCTCGCGGGTGACCCTTCTGCATCAGGACAGCAGCCCTTCTCTGACACGACTCAGTCACTCCAAGGATGCAGTTCCCAGGGGTGTTACCACCCTCTTCCACGTGGCCGATTCCTGTAGCAGTGGTTACAGGGAGCCCCGTGAGCCCGGTGGAGACCTAGGGGTCCCTGGGAACCTCCCCCAACTCAGACCAATGGGATAACAGACAACCCTGTTTTTGTCTCCTCCAGGCTCCTCTGGCCCAGCCCGAGTCCCCTACAGCCTCCGCTGGAGATGAGCCCCGGTCCACTCCCGAGTCTGGGGAGTCAGACAAGGAGTCAGTTGGCAGCAGTTCTGCCAGCAACGAGGGCAGCAAGCGGAAAGAGAAGTCAAAACGGGATCGGGAGAAAGACAAGAAGAGGGCCGATTCGGTGGCTAATAAATTGGGCAGCTTTGGCAAAACCTTGGGCAGTAAGCTCAAGAAGAACATGGGAGGCCTGATGCACAGCAAGGGCTCCAAGCCTGGAGGGATGGGGACAGGGTCAGGGGTGAGCAGTGGCACTGAGACACTGGAGAAGAAGAAGAAGAATTCGCTGAAGAGCTGGAAGGGTGGCAAAGAGGAGGCCGCGGGGGATGTGCCCGTGTCTGAGAAGCCCGCCTCTGAGTCCGTGGGTAACGGAGGAAGCAAGTATAGCCAGGAGGTGATGCAGAGCCTGAGCATCATGAGGACTGCAATGCAAGGGGAGGGGAAGTTCATTTTCGTTGGAACCCTGAAGATGGGTCACCGTCACCAGTATCAGGAGGAGATGATCCAGCGCTACCTTTCCGATGCCGAGGAGAGATTCCTGGCAGAGCAGAAACAGAAGGAGGCGGAGAGGAAGATCATGAATGGAGGGGTGGGGAGTGGGCCTCCTCCAGCCAAAAAACCAGAGCCAGATGGTGGGGAGGAGCTGCTGACTGCCCCCCAAACAGAGTCCAAGGCGATGGCATTCTCTGCTGGCTACCCTGGGGGCTATACAATTCCTCGGCCTTCTGGGGGTGGAGTTCACTGCCAGGAACCCCGGAGGCAGTTGGCAGGGGGTCCGTGTGGAGGGGGCCTTCCCCCGTATGCCACCTTCCCTAGACAGTGCCCTCCTGGGCGACCCTACCCCCATCAGGACAGCAGCCTTTCTCTGGAGCCAGGCAGTCACTCCAAGGATGGAGTTCACAGGGGTGCATTGTTACCACCCCACTTCCGCGTGGCTGATTCCTATAGCAACGGCTTCCGAGAGCCCCCTGAGCCAGATGGATGGGCTGGAGGGCCCAGGGGGCTTCCCCCAACCCAGACCAAATGCAAACAACCGAACTGCAGCTTCTATGGACACCCCGAGACAAACAACTTCTGCTCCTGCTGTTATAGGGAAGAACTGAGGAGGAGGGAACGGGAACCCGGTGGGGAACTGCTGGTACACAGGTTCTGAGTTGGGGGACCTTGGAGGGCAGGGGGCTAAACAAAGAAAGTTAAGCTCAACTAATTGGCTCATCAAGACCCAGCCCCCATGTTGCTGGGGCAACTGCAGTGAAGTTTGTGGGAGCCTGGCTGGAAACCTGAGTGTGTGTGCGCTGGAGGGCCGCCAGGCTGCCGCGCCGCCGGGCCGGCACTTCCAGGGCTGGGCGGGTCTCTTGCAGACCTTGGTAGGACTGAGGAGGTATAAGGGGAAAAGATGGTGATGCTGTCTCATAACCCCTTGGGTCCATCCCAGGACCTGAGGGAAAGCAGTAGGGGCAGGTGTGGGGTGGGGAGGTAGCATATGTCTGGGGAAGGAACAGGCAAAGGTGGTTCTCAGTCAATAAAGGAAAAAAACAGACCAAAGTTCTTTCAGGTTGGAAAAGAGCACATGGTGGTGGAGTTGGGGTGTGGAGAGAAGCTGGGAAATTAGACACATTTGCTATCGATTTGAATTGAGTTAGAGATTAGGGTTGGATATTCTCCTGAATGATCTGGAGAGACAAGGCAGTAATGTGTGCTTACGGGTGCCTGTTAGGAGGGAGGAGGTAGCTTAAATTGGTTTATTGCGATGGGAAAGGGAAGAACTTAGAAGGGGGATCCTTTTCCTCTTAAGTTGTATTTCCTTCTAAATACCATCTGTCATCTGTTCCAGTTTGAGAGGAGAATGCTGATTGCCCCCGATCTTTTTTTCCCTCACCCTTTTTGAGGGCTGAGCTCAGCTAAGAAGGTTGTGATTTTTTTTTAAAAAGACTTTCATTTTATTTAAAAAAAAAAAAAAAAAAAGAAAAAGTTCCCTCTGGGGAAGGGAGGAGAGTGATGAGAAGAGCAGCTGTGTGTGTTGAATTTTCTCCAGGTGAGGCTGGGTGGAGGTGGCCTTTTTTAACTAAGCAATGACCGGGTCCTGGAGCGCGAGGCGCCTTGGGAGGGGCGGGAGGAGGACAGACCTCAGGCCAGACTGTTTTGAACCAAACCAAAAACCTAAATAGAGCACTACCATCCTCTGCTGCTGCATTTCTGTAGAAAGCAACTTATTTTTTGACTTTTTTAAAAGGAAAATGTAAAAAGACCCCAGCAAGCAAAAACATTTTTAAAAATAATTTTTTTCCTATTTAAGTGATTCTTTCTCCTCCCTCTCTACTTTTAGAGAATGAACTTAACATCCTGGCTTCTTTTGTTAAGCCATAGCTGACCTTAATCTGTGGTTAGTTTATTAAAATAATAATAAATACTTTGTAAGAAGAGATATTTTTGATAATAGGACTGATGTTGAAACATGGGGTAGGGACTGGGGTGATTTATAAAAAGGTAGTTAGAGAAACCTATTTTAGTGAACTACAACCACAGATCACAGATGACTCCCAATGAGCAGATCTGCCTTGGATTTCCCCCTTCCCCTGACCCAGCCCTCCCCCCCCCCCCCCCCGTGGGGTGGGAGGGGCCTGTGGGCGAAGTGGGGGGAAGCTCCTTTGCATTTTGCACAAAGCACAAGTCTGGACAGCCTATGCTCTGGCCAGCACCATTTTTAAGAGCTTTAAACCAGAGGACCTATCCTGGGCCAATTTTCCTTCCTTTTCTTTTTCCCCCCTGGGGGAAAAAAACCCCACCAACTATGCAATTTGTATACACTCCTGGGTACATACACAGAAGGGGAGTAAGTGTACTTAAGTGTCCAGGTGTTAACCAGGGCTATTTTTCTGTACTTAAAGGTATGTACTTATAACCCAGCCCGTGGAATGTAATCCCTACACGTGATCTAAGGCAGACACGGGCTGCGGGGGTGTGGCGGGGGGATGTGTGTTCGCCATATGTTGCTTCTGCCCAATCAGGAAAGTTGTCACCCTGTTCCCCCCTTGGTAACAAAGCCACCAAGACTCCTTTTAATTGGAACTGCTCACATTTTAGAAAGGTTCCTTCCTCCTCAACAAACTTGGAACTCACTTATTTTCCAAATCTCGTAGTCTGTTGGTTGAATCATTTCCCATGGCTGTGAGTTCTTAAGCTTTTCTTTGAAAGAAGGATGGTTTTAAGGAAGCAATGAGGTCAAAGGAGTGAGGCCCCGAAGGGGGGCATGTGTGACATGTTCTGGGCAGGGCGGGGACTGGTATGAGACCACTCCTCCCAGGTACGAAGCTGACGAGGTACGCCAAAAACTGGGTCATCAAAATGATGTTTTAATGCAGTATTTTTTTAAATTAATGCAAAAAATCCATAATGAACAGTATCAGAATCTTAAAGACAGGAGGTCACAGGACTAGGATTAGGGGGAGGCAGGTAAGGCTGAGACAAGCATGGGATGGAATTCTGTATTTCAAATTGTGATCCTTTGTTCATTGTGGTTGTTTTTTTTTAACAGTTTAGATTTTCAAAAAATACTGCATTAAAGTAGTATCTTGGTTACTGGGTTTGGGGCAGCATTTACATTTTATGCCCCAAACGAGTGCCTTTCTCACCTAGCCCTGTTTGTGGGGTTAGAACAACCCCTAGTGAGGCTACCACCTTGTGGGCTCCCCCCCCCCCCCCAATTCGCACCCACAGGGCAGGTGCTCGAACTCTCACCTCGAATATGCACAGCCCACCTGGCTTTCTCACAGGCGTCCACTTCTGTCAGGCTCGGGCCTGGATCAGTGGGCGCCAGACCAGGCCGGGGCTTCCCCAGAGAGTGAAAGGGGAAAGAGTGAATTCTCCACTGGACTGCTGTGCTTGGGTTTGTTCTGTTACTAGTTCTAGGTTATACTTTTGTTTAAAAAAAAACTGAGGACAAATGAACAAAAACAGAAACCTTGTGTCATGTTTGGTTTTTATTTTGATTTATAAATTAACCAATCCCAATTTCTTCTGACCTCTTTCAAAATTCTGGGCGTTGGCCTAGGGGTGAGTATGGGAAAATAGGGCTTTATTTAGGCCCTATAGCTTTTTATTAAGTATTTTTCTTAATTTGGGAAGGTAACTATTTATTGAGGCATTAAAAAAACTCTCCATTCTAAGGACAAGGGACCCTGATTCAATGGATGTTTTTCTCTAGGGATGAGTAAGGTTTGTTTTCTTTACTGTGAGGACGGTTGTGTGGGGTGGGTGGGCAGGAGAAAGGAGTATTGCCTGGGAAATGAGGTTGGGTTGGTTTGTGGTATTTGGGGAAGATGAGGGGGTGGAAGAGGCAAGCCCATGCAATTACCGTGTTGGGAGAGGGGAAGAGTGTGCTACACGCTGTGCAGGCAAACGAGCACAAACACCTTCGTTAAGGAGAGGTGGGGGGGGCAGGCCCCGCAACTCTAGCTGAGGGGGGATAACTGTCTCCCAGGCTTAAAGAAGTGCACTTAGTTCCTTTAATCCAGGGTGCTGGGGTGCCTGCTGAGGTATTTTATTGGAGGGGAGGTTTTTCCTTGTTGATTTAAGACTGCTATCCCTCCACCCTAGTTCACCCCAGTCCTGATGGAACAAGTATACTATAAGCCTCCCAAATCCTCCCTTAATCTATGCCGGTTTTATTGAAGGTTACAAGATTTAATCAAAAGTTTTTCCCTCATACATACTGGATTCTGTCATTAAAATAAAAAGATTATATATATAAATTTTTTTTTAAAGATTCAATCTCTTTGTGGAGTGGGGATGGTGTTAAACTGCTATAGGGCCAGGAGGGAAGTACCTTCCCTCTTCTCTTGGCTCAGTTTCTTAGGCAAAACTGAAGCTCCCGGACAGAACAGAGGTTAGCCATGACTTTGTGTTGTGTATTTGGGAGGTGATGCAGAGCCAGAAAGAACGGGGCTGGTTCTGAGGGACTTCCGAGAACCCAGCTCTCACCATCGCTACTCCTTTCTAAGCAGCCATGTGTCCGTTTCTTCTTCCTCAATAAAGGAGTTTGAGAGTATCGTCCCTGAGTTACTCAGACACCTCCGGACTCGGTGTGTTCTCTCTCCAGCAGTCAGTGTCCCAGACACACAACCACGGGTGAGAAGACAGAAGCCCCTCCCCCAACATGGAATCATCTGCCCCAGTTTTCTAACGTCCTTTTCACGCCAGGCCCTTCATTTGCAGATTCAGTGAGTCATACAGGCGCTATGGCTCTCTCACTCTGTGGGTGCCCCGTCTGCAAGTCACAGGTTGTTTTGCCCCATGGTACTTAAGTTGAAGAACAAAATATTTATGATGAAGTCTCCCATGTAGACACTTTCCAGGGCACCTCCCTTCACTGGCCTCAAGGGTGAGGGCCAGTAGGAACGGAAGCTGGCTGACTAGCAGAAATGACAGGAGTGGGGGTGGGGAGGACTTTGGCCTTTTTCTGGGCTTATAAGGATCTGTGACTCATCATCTGAGTCACTCAGCTCCACCTCCTCCAGCTGCCCCTCCCTGCAGCTTTCAGTCTGCACAAATCCGCAGCCAGATCAGGATTCTGAAAATGGAAAAATCTGATGCAGCCCCATTGCCTTTCCACCCTCCCTTTCATCCGCCGAGCCTCCGCCGGGGATGGGTCGGGTGGTGAGGGGTGGTCCTGCTGTTACCCTTCAGCTGCTGCCCCCACTGCATTCCTGGTTGGGTACTTATCCGAATCAGGTGTTTGGGGGTTTTTTTGGCCTTAGACTTGCCCCCAATCCCCTGATGTTTTTCTCTGTATTCCTCTGCTGTTCCTTACCTCAAAAGTATTAATAAGAATGAGGCTCTTGAATGAAGGGTGGTGGGAGGAGGAAAGTGGACAATGACATTTTAAAATTGTGGTACACACCGCTTCTATTGCACCAGACCTTGGGAAGTATCTCTTCCCCAGAGACAGAGGCCCACAGAATGCAGGTAGGGCTGATGGTGCTTAGTAGTTTTGGGGACCTTGAGGATCAGGAGAATCAGGCTCAGGGACCAGCCACCTTTGTAGCAGGTGTGTGCCTTTGTTCCGCACTGACTTCCCGCCTCACAATATGTGTTTTCACTATTTCCAAAGTTGCAGCCAAGACAGGGACGTTTCAGAGCTGAGGCCGGAAGGGTGTGCTTGCTGGGGGTTGGAGAGAATAAAGTGACACTTTGGAAAACGGGGCCCCACCTAAGGATTGCTGCCTCTGTACAGACTCAAAATCAATAAAACAGCAGCGCGTTAACTCTTGCTTTGTATTTTATCTCCTGTCTTTTTCACATCTGAATGGAGATTTTGCCTTGCATTCCTCCCCCAGTCCTCTTCACCTGCAATTCCCTTCCCTCCTAGCGCCCTCCCCCCACCTTTGCTTCTAGGGTTGCAAGGGGGAGGGAGAAGGAATGGGCTTGATGAACTGCACAGAGGTTTCCAGCCCTCAGCTTTCAAAGTCCTGAATGTGAATTATTAATTTGGAGATCTGGTGTCTATGCGGGAGGGAGGAGTCGTGTACCTGGAGTGGGCTCCAGTTTCTGGTTGGTTGGGGGTGTGTGCCTGTGTATGTGCTCGATCGATTAAGTGGTGACATCTTTTCCTTGGGCCTCCCCCCCCCACCCCAGAACTTGCACACAAACATACCCGTACTTGTGTCTGCATCCTGGAGGGACTTTAGTTTCTCGCTTTTCCACCGCACCCTGTGCACGAAGCATGTTTCATGGTGTCTGGAGGAGGATGTACAAAGACACTAACTGGACCCCCTCCCCAGTTGTTGGGGCTCCCTGGGCAAAACTCTGAGGTCCAGTTTCCATTTACTGCCCAACCCCTTTTGTTAGGTCTGTCAGGGGTGGCCGTTAAGGAGGCCTTAACTACTGCGTTCCTCCCACTTCCTCCACCCCCGCCCCCTTTGAGATATTAAAAAACCAAGCTTCCCGGGAAAGCCACCACTCGGAGAGTCTAGAGAAGTGGCCCGAATTGTTCCAGTTTAACACTCGATATTACTGCTCCCCTCAAACAGTCTCCAATGCTCATGAACAGGAAGTGCAAACTAGGAACAGGGTAAAGAATTGAATCTGGCTTATCCTCCCCCCCAGTTCCCGGTTTGATTCCTCACCTTTCCCAGGCTCCTCCACTTCCCCTTCACTTTCCAAAAATGGTGTGTGTACTCCTTTAAGAGGCTGGGCGTGCCTCCCTCCCTCTCCAGAGTCGACTGAAGTTTCCAAGGAGCCTCCTCTAGCTGGGCTGGACACACCTTTCAAAGACCCCAAATCGTGCTCTGTGCGCATCAAACGCTCCTTTGCCCTGAGTGTTCCTCTGCCCCATCCCCGACCTCCCTCTTCTCAACTACGAGAACCAGCCTCTCCCCCAGGGGCTTGAGCATCCTCGAGGTTTCCCACCCTTAACTGCTCCGTCTCCGGATGGAGCGGGAGAAATGTGGTGGGGGGGCCGGGGCCAGAGTTTCAACATCGCCCCCCAGAAGGAGGAGCCAGAAATGGGGGTAAGGAGAGGAAAGGTGGGTTTGGGGGAAGGGGTTGTCAGCAAGAGGTGTGTGGCGATGATGTAGACATTAAAAAAAAAAAAAAAAAACAACTAGAGCCGGAGGAGGGTGTGTCTCATAGCAACTCTGGCTGATGGAGCTTGGTCTGTCCTTTTCAGTCTCAAGTTCATCGTCTCATTATCCATTAACCAGCCCCTCCCTCTTTACTCTCTGCCAACCCTGGTCCTGAGCACCCCACAGCCACTGATCTCAGTTTTCCCTGAGAGTCTGAGTATGGACCTCCAAAGGTGGCTGCTCAGGTATCCCCTGACCCCAGGGTTGGCAAGGCCTGGGGTTTAACCCTACACCCTTCACAGCCCTCTGGACCAAAGTCTGTCCAGGGGAGTGGGATGCCGGAGCCCGGGAGTCGTCAGCTTGGCAGTTGCCTGGCCTCTGGATGCCTCCCAGGTAATAATGCCCTTCCAGTACTTCTGATCTCCAGAAATGCCTTCCGATTTCATCCTACTTCAACCTTGTTTCATACCTTCACTAAAGATGCCTTTGTGTTCCTCTCCTGGCTCAGAGTGCCTCTTCTGCATGAGGCTTATTCTCTTGACTCTGTCCAGAGCAGGTTGGGAGCTTGGATGTTCATGGTCTCTCTGTTTTCTTGAGGCTGTTCCCCCTTTGGTCATTTATTTAGTCAGTAAATATTTGAGTGCCTACTATATGCCAGACACTGTTCTAGGCTCTAGAGTAAAAAATGACAAATTCTCTCCTTAAGCTTTCATTCTTAGAAGTTAGAGGAGGATCTTAATCTTCCTTCTGAGGCCCTCCTGTCTCAGAGGAGTGGGTGTGCATGTGTGTGCAACACCGACAATGATTATAACCTGGCTTCTCCTATAGGGGAGCGGGTCCTAGCCTGGGCCCCAGGGGTACGGAAGGGGCTGGACCCTGAATTGCCTGGAACCCTGATCTGCACCAACCTGAGGGTCACCTTCCAGCCCCATGGATGGCAGCGGAGTCAGGTGAGATGGTTAGGTCAGTGGGAAGGAGAGCTAGCAGGAAGTAGGTAGGGGAATCTAGAAGGATTAGACAAGCATTATAGGAAGTGAGATAGAATTATTCTTAAAGGCTCCCTTTTGAACGTATCAGGGATAGTCAGTGGGATCTATCTCTAGGAAGGCGAGGGGCTGCTGAGATAAAATGTGAGATCTCTAATGCCTTTAGTATGTCATGTGCTTCCTCTAGGAGACTCCCCTGAGCAGTGAGTATGATTTTGCCCTGGCCAACATTGGGCGATTAGAGGCTGGTAAGTGGAGTTTTGGTGCAGGAGCTCACTGGGGGGGGGGGTGTCAGATCCCCTCCTCAACCCTTCCTCTATTATCAGAGGGCAGCCAGGGATGCAGTGGGATGGGCAGGAAGACTTCCTCCACAGAGACCCTGATCCCTGGCTACACTGCTCTCTAATTCTTGACTTCAGTGAGCAACCTGTCTCGAGTTCAACTCCACCGTCCAGGGTCCCTGCTTAAATTTATCCCTGAGGAGATCCTGATTCATGGCCGAGACTTCCGGCTGCTCAGAGTTGGTTTTGAGACTGGAGGACTAGAGCCTCAGGCTTTTCAGGTAAGAGGCTTGAAACCCAAGGACGCCTCATTCCCTGAGAACCTTGGGATCCTTTCTCTGGCACTTCCCAGTACTCCCTTATTTCTCAGAATTCCTCTCAGTCTCTGCTTCTTTCCTCAAGGAGTGGCTAAAAGGCTGGGATAAATGACAGTACGGTGAGAATGAAGGGCCTGAATTGTACCTCACTTATGCCGGTTGTCAAGCACGTGACTGTGGGCAAGTGTCTTCCTTTGAAAAACAGGGAGGGTTGGAGAAGATTATTCTTAATTCCTTCCAGAATTAACACTCTGTGATTCTGTGGTTCTAGATGTATTTTCCTGACCCCAACTCCCTTTGTTAGGGACTGTCTCAGCTGTTCTTCTTTATTGGCGGCAAAGACAATGAAGCAATACTCCACATTTCCTTCCTTTCACTTCAGTCTGAGCCAAAAGGACAGGATGTCCTTTCCTCCACAGGTGACCATGGCCATTGTCCAAGCCAGAGCTCAGAGCAGCCAAGCCCAGCAGTATGCAGGGATAACCCTGAGCAAGGCTGGTGAGTGGGAGTGCTCTGGGGTAAGGAGAGGGTAAAGAGTCTGAAAAGCAGAGGCTGGCTGAAGACAAAAGGGCTGAGAAGCTGTCCTCTTTGTCGTCCCCTCTGCTGCCGTCCTCCACTAGGCCAGAGTGCTGGCTCCAGAAAACCACCCGTTCCTCTCTTGGAGACGTCAGAAGACTGGGAGACTGAGAGGAAAAAGCAGGGAGCCAGTGGCTGGAGGGTCAGTCTCATCAATGAGAGATTCGACGTAGCCACCAGGTGACCCCTCAGTCCAGCCCAACCCCTGCAGACTCCTGGTCTTCCCACAGGTCCCTGTCTCTCTGAAGCTATGATTCCCGTATGCTCCAGCCTCCTAGGACTTCCACAGAACTATCCCCCTTACCTCCTAGATCTCTGAACCTCGGATCACTTGGAATGATCCCCTCCTAAGCAGTGTCCTGTAATCACAGCTTTGCATTATGAGGTCACTGAGCCAAGATGTGACATAACTCTCAATTTCACAGCCTTTCCCGTTACTTCTGGGTCCCTATCCGAACTCTGGACAGTGAGGTCAGGAGAGCCTTTGGCCACTTTCATCAGGGTCGTGGACCGGTCAGTGTGAGGGTCAGGGCAATGGTTGGGGATTAGAGGGTTATGGGAGGTCAGGGGTCATTGTGGAGGGAGGGGATCCCTGTGAGGTCAGTGTGGGGGCAAGGGTAGGGTGGGGCTAGGAGGTTCTCCCACAATGCTCCTCCTGTCACCCATCTGAAGCGCCTGTCCTGGCATCACCCTGGGGGGAGTGATCTTCTCCGCTGTGGAGGCTTCTACACAGCCAGTGACCCTAACAAGGAGGATATCAGGTAAGGGACGTTTGATGAGAAGAACCAAAGGTTAGGTGTTCAGGGCAGACTCCTTCCCTTACCTTTTGACTCCCTTCCTTCCAGAATAGTGGAGTCCATGCTCCAGGCTGGGCATTCTGATGTTGTCCTGGTAGACACTATGGATGAGCTGCCCAGTCTTGCAGATGTCCAACTTGCCCACCTGAGGCTGAGGGCCCTCTGTCTGCCTGGTGAGAATAGCCTTTGGCCCCTGACCCCCACCCCTAGGTCTGCTGACCCTAACCTGGTTTGCCATTTGCCTGTGATAAATGAATAACACGTCAGCCCAATGATTCTTACTTTTCTACTCAACTCTTCCATCTCCCACATACTGATTTCCTGTCTTCCAGACCCCAATGTACTCTTTTAATGGCTTTATTGAGATGCAATTTATACACCATAAAATTCATCCTTCACCCAGTTTAAGTGTACAATTCAATGAATTTACAGTTTTGTACAAACATTACCACAATTTAACTCTGGAAACCTCATGGCCATTTAAAGCAACTTTTCATTCCTATCCCAGCCCAAGGCAACCACCACCTAAGTTATTCTTAACCCTTGGGGCTATAGTCCCTGAATTCGAATCCCAAGTTCTCCCGATCTCTTCACCCTTCTGACCCCTCTACTCTCTGCTAGATTCACCTGTAGCTGAGGATAAATGGCTCTCTGGCCTGGAAGGGACACGATGGTTGGACTATGTCAGGTACTCCCTCTTTTTCTAGCCATGACTTATAATTCAACCCTCCCAAACTTCTGTTAACTTGGACTCCTAAGTGGCCTTCCATGAACTCTTCTCCTTGGTTTCCCAAGAAGACTTATTTAGAAGGGGTCAGCCTCTGTTCTATCTCTTGACCCATTACTCCCCTCTCCCAGGCTTATCATTCTCCCCTTTGTCCTTACCTGCCCCTCCAGGTCTTGTCTTCGAAAGGCCAGTGACATCTCAGTCCTGGTGACATCTAGAGTTCGCTCTGTAGTACTTCAAGGTGAGTTTCTTGGATCAACTCACTCCATTACCTGACTTTTTCATTACCCACCTGACTGGGTTCTGCTCAGGGAGGGAAACCTACAAGGCTTCCTTGTCCCCTTCTAGTGCTGAAACTCTCCTCTCCCTTTACTGGGAACTACCCATGAGCTCTAACTTATCCTCAGTGCTACCTCTGCTTCCCCACCACAGCTTGTGGTCCCTAACAGAAGGGTTCTCCAGCCTCTGTTCACATCCTTCCATCAGTGGATGGGGATTGGGGTTGGGATGGGAAAGACAATGTGGAAGCTGGTTTGAGATTTATAATGCTGCCCCTTACATGTGAGGCTGGGTATTTCTATTCAGGTGGAGTCTATGAAGTAAATCATTCAAGATCTTTGTTTTGTCTTCACTTCTATGTGCCCTTTCAATCCTACCTACCCCAAACTTTCCCCCCTGTACCTCTCATTTCTTGCCATGTTTCCTTTTCTCATTCTCTTCTGCCCTAGTTTCTTGCCCCCTTCTTTGTCCCTTCTCCCTCTTTATCACCCAGAGCGCGGTGATCGTGATTTCAATGGCCTCCTCTCTTCACTCGTCCAGCTGCTTTCAGCCCCTGAAGCTCGAACACTGCTTGGCTTCCAATCACTAGTACAGCGAGAGTGGGTGGCAGCTGGACATCCCTTCCTGACCCGACTTGGGGGAACGGGGATCGGTGAGAAGGTGAGAACTTTTGGGAGGGTACTGAGTGGGAGCAGTATTACTAAAGAAGTAAGAGGATCTGAAAATTATATAGTGTAACCCACTGGAGGTGAATCAGGTCCTAAGGGTCCTGTGGTTGAGCTGAGTTTGAAGGGAGATACAGATGAGTGAGGACCACACTCCCTACAGTGCTCAGTTCGGATTTCCATGTCCTGATCTTCTTAGTGGCCCCTGGTCCCTGTGTCCCCCTCATTTCGTCACTCTTCCCTTTCAGGTTCCCAGAGTCCCTTCCAACCTCTTCATTTCCCTCTTCTCAGGCCCCAGTGTTTCTCCTCTTCCTGGATTGTGTGTGGCAGCTCCTCCAGCAGTTTCCTGCTGAGTTTGAATTTTCGGAGTTTTTCCTTCTCGCTCTTCATGACAGTGTCAGGGTTCCTGACACCCTTACATTCTTGAGAGACACTCCCCGGGAGCGTGGAAAACAAAATGGACAGGTCAGTGACTTCATTTTTATATTTTTTTTTTTAGAGGAGAAGGAGGAGGAATATGTATGTGGTCGGCGAAGTTAGAATATTGTCTTCCACAACCCCTCCCCCACGCCCCCATGGAGAAGTACTTTCCCAAGTTTAGTTTTGATTTATGAAAAGTGAGGTCTGTGGGTGGGAAAAGGGGAGGTTGCTGCTCTCTCTCAGGTCTGGAGTTTCACCCTATATTTGACTCCTGGAGTAAGAGATGAGAGTTTCATAATATTTCTGTAGACCTGTGAGAAGGATTATGTACTTTTTGATTTTGTTTAACCATCCCTTTTCTTGTTTTCTTTTGTCCAGTTCAACTCCTGTACACAAGTCTATACCCCAGGGTACTCCCAGCTCCCCACAGGGAGCTCTGTTGACCCACAGCTGTCTGTCTGGGACTGGGATTTACGCTATAGCAATGAACAGATTCTCCAGTTTCATAATCCTGGCTATGACTCAAAATACTGCCCAGATTCCTGGCTCCCTAGACAGCAGGTGAGGTGTCTTAACTCCCTTGACTTTCTTGCAGGCTCATCCTAATAGATGGGAAGAAGTTGAAAGACACAGTGTCCGAGCCCCCAGGGAAAGCTACCCCACTCCTCTTCTGTAGCTGTCACATATCCCTGACTGTCCCTAGAAGACAGAAATCTTAGAATAGCAGAGGGCATCCTCTGGGTCCTCCTCATCTTGTCTCATGCGTGCATTTTGCAAGTTTCCCTAAAATCAACTTTAATCAGTCCTGAGGTCTACTTTGAAGCCCAATGAAGAGGAAAGTTAGAGTTCTCAGTGGGAGGCTTATAGTTCCAACACTAGCACGGTGACTGTGTGGGTAGCTGGACAGTGCTTCCCAACCCAATTTGGGGAAACTGGGTCATCTGGTTTCTAGGTCACCAGTTGATTTTCCTTTCCCCTTTAGCCAAGCTTCATGGTTCCTAGACGCCCCAGTTCTGTATGGCTCTTCTCTAGAGGGGCCTTGACTCCCCTGAATCAGCTCTGTCCTTGGCGGGACAGTCCCTGCCTGCTGGCAGTCCCTTCTCGTTGGCTCCCTCGACCTGCTATTTCTTCGGAAAGTCTGGCTGATCAGGAGTGGGGGCTCCCCTCACATTGGGGAGCCTGCCCTTTACCCTCGGGGCTGTTGCTGCCTGGATACCTGGGACCCCAGATCAGACTCTGGAGACGCTGCTACCTAAGGGGAAGGCCTGAGGTTCAGGTGAGAAGGGAAGGCAGGGATTGAGGTGGGAGAAAGGTTTGGCAGCTGAGCCAGATGTTCCAGAAGACAGATGTTTCCAGAAACCGGAAAAGCAAGGGGCTGGGGAAACTGGGAAGTGAAGTACTATTCATGTTGGTACCGAAGTGGATACGTTTGGGAGTGTGGGTGCGTGGGGGAAACTTTGTGGCTCAGATCAAGTGGAACCTAGGGTATAGTTAGTGGGAGAATAGGAATTAAAAACGTCAGTAGTAAACAGATTTTAAAAGCAGAGAGAGAGCTAGAGCTGCAATAATACTTTCTCTCTCTCCACTCCCTTTCCAGATGGGCCTCTCAGATCCCACAATAACTGGCCTCCAGGATGAGTTAGCCCATCTTCAGGAGCTATTAAGGAAATGGACACCAAGAATATCTCCTGAGGATCACTCCAAGAAAAGAGACCCAAATTCCCAATCGCGCTGAAATTGCTGGCTTTGTCATGGGCAGGGAGAAAAGTGGTCCAGCGTAAGGGAGGGTACCGTCTAATCCTTTCCATTCTTCCTATCTGGTCTTGCTGCCTCAGCTTTCACACCCCAGCCTTTGAACCACATCCCTGACTTGAACCTCCAACTCTTGCTCTGTCAGGTTTGGTTCCTCAAGAATTTATATATGTAGTTTCTTGTGATTTGAAGAATTAAGAAACAAAAACAACCCAGAACATGACCACCTCTTTTTTCAAAGCAATTCCATCCCTTTTGTATATCCAGATGTTGTGAGATCAGTCTCAACAAGGACAGCCTTACAAACCTCATTTTTACCCCCTTACCACTTCTTTAATTCCATTTTCTACTTCTTCCCTTATAGCTTCCTATGGGTATGGAGTAGATATGGGGGGCATCTTGTCTCTTCCAATTGTATATTTTTGTAGCGACATTTCTATTTAAGGGTTTCATTAAAGCACAGTATTTATACGTGTTGCTGGCATTGTTTCTTGTGTCCGAATACAGGCTCCTAGGGGAGGGGTCAGTGTGATGCGAGAGGATGGCACTCACATTACTGGCGAGGAAATGAGGGGATGGGTCAGGTGAAGGTCTGCAAAATTCACATGCAACTTGGAGAAAGGGTTCTCTTTTCCGTGCCTCCCATTTAGGGGCAGATGGGGCAAAAGCACACACCAAGTGGTTGCTGGGGCCAGTAATATTCTGGAGGTTGAAGCGCCTCTCAGCTTCGGTCACACTCATCTGTAAGCTTCAGGTTCCCCTCAGCCCCCTCCTATGCTGTAACCACGAGGCCGGCTGAGACCTCACTTCGGCTCCGACACTTTGCAATCCCTCCCTTGAAGGAGATGAAACACTAACTCACGTACAGACAGGAGCTGCCCAATGGGGTGGAGAGGGTGCCTCCGCGCCCCAAGGCAGCAGAGTCCTTGGGTTGGGAGGTTCCTCACACGCCCTTCTCCGGGGAACAAAATATATGAAAAAGTTTTGTTCCTTTAGCTTTCAAATTTGCACTTTGGGAGCAGTGTGATCCTGTAACATCTCACACAGCCTTGAGAGGATGAGGGCGTTTCCATTCTGCCTTCTTTGCCCTGAACGCTCCCAGCAACACCCTAGGGAAGGACCAGCGATGGACTCAGTCAAATCGGCTGCAACAAGTCACTGCGGCTCCTAAAATGGCCGCGGCGGCTTCCGGCTCCGCCTACCGCTGCTCTCCGCCCACCACTGTCACATCTACCTTCGCCCCGGAAGTGGAAGTAGTGGCTGAGGTGGGGGGCGGAGTCGCTGCCTGGAGACGGCGGGAGCGACTTCGCCATGGCTGCCGGGCCGATCTCTGAGCGGAACCAGGGTGATTGGAGGGAACGACTTAGGAATGGGCCCAGGGGGGCTGGGAGACCTCGACTATAGCCACCAGGCTTTTCCCCTGGCGCGGGAGACTGGGCCACCCCAGAGGGCGTAAGACCAGCTCTCGTGCCTGCTGGGGGCCGGTGGCCGGCTTCAGGCTAAGGCCTGTAGGTGTGACGCTTTGTATGGCCAATCTTCTGGCTTTCCACTCAAAAAATAAATATTATTCATGAAGGGAATTTGCAGCAGAACTCTAGATCAGATTTAAGAAGACTCTAGTTCCCGTAAAGAGGGAGTTGTGAGGGCTTAGCCTAACGTCTTTTTTTTTCTTTTTATTTTGTATTTCGTCTCCACCTCCAATCCTCTCCTGGGTTTCCTCTTCATGTTCCTGTCATCTCCTTTCTTGTCATACTCATCTCTGCCCTAACTTCCTGCTCTCACCATCCAGATGCCACTGTGTACGTGGGGGGCCTGGACGAGAAGGTTAGCGAACCGCTGCTGTGGGAGCTATTTCTCCAGGCCGGGCCAGTAGTTAACACCCACATGCCAAAGGATAGAGTCACTGGTCAGCACCAAGGTAAGTATGTGGCAAGAGGTGCATTTATGTACTGAGGGGGGACAAACGACTCCTGGAGGATCGCAGCACCATTCTCAACTTTTGGAAGAAGCACCCTAAACATTTCGTTCTCTAAAGTGTATGCATTTGATCTTAGCCAAAAGGCTGAGAAACGATTCTTAAGTCTAGCTCACAGTTTGTTTCTTGAACCGTTCTCAATTGTAGTGAGGTTGTTATTTCTTATTTTTTGTGCTTTTAAAGGTGGATGAGTTACACCCCATTTTGAATCACTTTGCTTATTTAAGCTCCTCTCTTCCACTTCTGCAGGCTATGGCTTTGTGGAATTCTTGAGTGAGGAAGATGCTGACTATGCCATTAAGATCATGAACATGATCAAACTCTATGGGAAGCCCATCCGGGTGAACAAGGCATCAGCTCACAACAAAAATCTGGATGTGGGGGCCAACATCTTCATTGGGAACCTGGACCCAGAGATTGATGAGAAGTTGCTTTATGATACTTTCAGTGCCTTTGGGGTCATCTTACAAACCCCCAAGATCATGCGGGACCCTGACACAGGCAACTCCAAAGGTTACGCCTTTATTAATTTTGCTTCGTTTGATGCTTCGGATGCAGCGATTGAGGCTATGAATGGGCAGTACCTCTGTAACCGCCCTATCACTGTGTCCTATGCCTTCAAGAAGGACTCCAAGGGTGAGCGCCATGGCTCAGCAGCTGAACGACTTCTGGCAGCCCAGAATCCACTCTCCCAGGCTGACCGCCCTCATCAGCTCTTTGCAGATGCACCTCCTCCACCCTCTGCCCCCAATCCTGTGGTATCATCACTGGGGTCTGGGCTTCCTCCACCAGGTAAAGCTTTTGATTCAGAATATGTTTGTTTTGAGTTTGTGGGGGATAGGTCAAGAAGGAGAAAGAACCAACAAAGGAGGACATTGAGTTATCGGGTGATGAGAAGGGATTGATGGGTGATGGTTGCTGTGGGGAGGAAAGTCCCTAAGTCTCTCCAGGAGGTTAAAGTTGTTTGTGTTGGCTTACATGGCTTTGACTTTAGAGAGCTGGGAGGGGGAGAAAAGAGCAAATCCTGCCTGGAGAGGCTGTATTGGAATAGGCTCTTTAAAGATATTCTCTCGTGTGATTAACTCTTCTTCTATTTCTTCTATAGGCATGCCTCCTCCTGGCTCCTTCCCACCCCCGGTGCCGCCTCCTGGAGCCCTTCCACCTGGGATACCCCCAGCCATGCCCCCACCACCTATGCCTCCTGGGGCTGGAGGACATGGGCCCCCTTCAGCGGGAACCCCAGGGGCTGGACATCCTGCACACGGACACTCACATCCTCACCCATTTCCTCCGGGTGGGATGCCCCATCCAGGTGTGTATTGTTTGCCGAGAAAGGGAGAGAGGAGCTTGGAAGAGGAGCTCTGTCACCACTTATGCTGCTGATCTTTTCCCATTGACCATACTCCATATTTCCAGAGCTTTCCTTTCCTTTAGACATTCTTTTATAAAAACAAACACATAATACTTTTTCATATACTTTTGTCTCCGTGTCTGAAGTTTTAACAAAGGTCGTAGCTACCTTGGCTGGGTTTTATTCCCTTGCCTTTTACTTCCATTCTGTCCTCTGACTTTTCATCCCAAAGCAGTGACCCAGTTGCCAAATCCAGGGGATTGTTTTGGTTTGACCTTTGTTCTTACTTAATCGAAACTAGCCATGTCTTGTATTTTTTTTAATTCTTAAGTTGAATTCTTTGGAGTGACACTGGGTAATACAATTATATAGGTTTCAAGTGTGCAGTTCTGTGATATATCCCGTTACAGTTTATCCCCCCTTTACCCTCTTCTGCCTTCTCTACCCCCGTTTCCTTCTGGTAATCATTGTACTGTTGTCTGTGACTGTGGGTTAGCCATGTCTCTTTGTTGGGAAATCTTGTCTCTTGGTTGTTCTGGAGCCTCCCTTTCTTTTTCTGTCACCTCAGTCTCAGCCATCTCAGTGGGCTCCCTGTGCTCTGTTTGTACCTGCAGTTCCAGCACTGGCTCCCCGGTGCCTCCTAGGTTGTAGCTCTGACTTATGGTAGGTAACCTTCTAGACCCGTGTTGCTGAACAGACAGCTCCGCTTTTCTACTCCCCTTCAGCTCTATTTTCCTCTAACAGTCTGTGTTTTCAGGTGCTTAACTCAAATCTGGGAGCTGTGTTTGACTATGCATTACCACCCCAGTCTTGACACCAAGACACACTGATATCTCTGGCATCAGTGCTCTAGTTCAGGTTTTTATATCTTCATTATTTCACATCTAACTTACTGTAGGAACTTCCTAATTCCCACTTTGACCCCAGTTTTCTCTAGCTCTGATCCACTTTCACAGGGTAATTTTTCTAAAACACAGATATTTGTACACCTTTGCTCAAAATTCCCTTTATCTACAGAGTGAATCCCAAACTGGCCACCATAGGAGTCCAGGCTTCTCATGGTCTGGCCCCTGATTACCACATAACTGGTTTTCCTGGAACGTACTGTGCTGCTCGACGTACTTAACGATTCTTGTCTTTTTTGCCTTTGATATTCTGTTCCCACTCTGTCCACCTGAAGAGTTCTTACTCAGCCTCCAAAAATAGATCTTTGCTCAGACAGCCTCTGCTACCTTCCCAAATCCTATCAGTAGATTAAATCAGTCCATTAAGTACTTCTGTGGCACTACTGCAGTGCCGAACTCATGGAAGGAGCAAGCGAAGTGAGGGAGGCATTTTTTGGTAGTTGGTTGGTTCATACAGTTGGAATGGGGTCAAGGGTACCGTTGACCAGCCCTATTTTTCTTCCTGATGTTACTTCTTTCTCTAGTTTGTTTTCTTTCATTTTCTTAGCCTTTCTCTGTGTGTCTGTTTGTTCTCGTAGGGATGTCTCAGATGCAGCTGGCCCACCACGGCCCTCATGGCCTAGGACACCCTCATGCCGGGCCCCCAGGATCTGGGGGGCAGCCTCCGCCCCGACCACCACCTGGAATGCCCCATCCTGGACCCCCTCCGATGGGCATGCCCCCCCGAGGGCCTCCGTTCGGATCGCCCATGGGTGAGTGGGCTCAGCCACCTCTCTCATCCTCCTCTTTTCTTGTGGCTTTGTCATGCTCTGTCCCCCGTTTTTTCTTCTCTTCTCACTGTCTGCCTGTCTGTCCTCTCCCTGTCCTCTCCCAGCATCAACTCTCTCCAATGTATGGCTTTGACTAACTTCTCTTTCTCTTCCTACAGGTCACCCGGGTCCTATGCCTCCCCATGGTATGCGTGGACCTCCTCCACTGATGCCCCCTCATGGGTACACTGGCCCTCCACGACCCCCGCCCTATGGCTACCAAAGGGGGCCCCTCCCTCCACCCAGACCCACTCCCCGGCCTCCAGTTCCCCCTCGTGGCCCACTTCGAGGCCCTCTCCCTCAGTAGTTTCTCATTCTCTTTCCTCGTGTTATACCTCCACAGTGTCTTTTGTATTCCTCGGACCAATCAGATTTTCAGTAGCTTCCTGGGGTTAAGGCCCTGACCCCTTAGGCCCCCCTTTTTTTTAAGTATA